CTCAATGGGGTGAGAGGATATTGATTTATACGCGTGTATCCACCCACTAAGGTGCTTTAACTCTTTAATTGGACTGACAGTGATGTGAGAAACTCACCTCAGCGCTCTCCCAGAGGCTTGGCTCTGCTCTGGATGTGGTGAGAGGAGGGGCTTTGGGGGGCACCACGCTGATAAACTCTTTCTACTTTAATCACCCACGTTATTGGATCTCTCTCTACACGGCGCTGCGGACATCAATATCAATGACACACAGCCCTATAAACGTCTGAGAGAAGCTCCTAACCTCAGTAAACACTCCTGATGACTTTATGGGCTCAGTCAGTCGTCGCAGCACCAGATCCACATATTTGATTTGCCAGGTTTTTTTGCCCCTCCCCCCCTCTGTCTCCTCGCAGTCAGACTGGGAGGCGGGTAATATTATTATTATAGTATAATAAATATACTAACACTCTTTTTTTTAATCGAAGTGAAGATTTTATCGAAGTGTATTACACCTCCCTGGGTTGGTTAACAGCCTCGAGCATCAACTGTTGTTTTAAATATTCACACAGTTTCTTTTTTGCTGGGTTTGCATCATCCATCACGCTGCTCTAAGCTTGCTACGCGCCTCAGCGTTTAAAAATGCTCCTTTTACACTGGACAATAACTTTTATTTAATTTCATTATAAGGCAGCTTTGGTGAGTCACAGGTCTGTTAACAGTCAGAGTATTTCTGTTGTGGCTGCCCTTGATGTAATTTGGCTACTTCTAGTCCAGCAGACCGACTCCAACTCCCCCTGGTGATCGTAGTGATCGTGGTGATCACTCAGCTCCGAGCTGAACATGCTACAGCTGGAGAACTGCCTCATGTGCCAGCTGGAGTTAAACGTCTGTGGGACTTACTGGCAGAGCCAGCTGAATTTTCCACACACATCTGTATTTACATCCCCTACATATTTAGAAGAACTCACTTACAGTTGTACTTCATGTCTCATTTAAAAAGCATCCTTTCACCCAGGGGCGACTTTTGCCCCGTTTTGGAGGTGCTTCAGCACCTCCAAAATGAATCAAAGCACCCCCAAAGATGTCTTACTTTTTTTGAAAATATTTGCTGTTTGTGGGACACACTACTAAAAGTATAAAAAGCATACAGTACTTAATTGAGATGGAACATTTTAACAACAAAAGTATAGATAACCCCTCCCCCCTCCCAAAATGGTTTGTTCCAGCTCGGCTCTCGCCTACTTGCTTTAGCGCCGTTGCTGCCAGAGCGACGGTGGCTGAGACGCAGCGGAGCGGAGGTGGAGGTGCCTGGCTTAAAACAGGACATATTAGCTGCATTTAACTTTCAGTTACTCTTTATATAGTTAGGTAGGAGTCAGACCATGTTTCTTTTTACTGAAAAACATTACACCAGGTAACCTGCTGTGTTGAAAATAGGGCTGCCACGATTAGTCGACTAGTC